TGAACCATCATTATCACTATCATCAGTGCAATTTCCAACCTTTTGGGAACCTGAATGCATAGTTTGAGCTAACTTAACGTAGGACTGAATATCATCACGAAGATCAGGTGAGCACAAACAAATTTTGAGCCTTTATCCTTTGTTTCTTAAACCGTGAAATGACCCTCAAAAGACCTAATTGAAGCAAGGTTATTTTGAAAGCATACCACAATGAGGTTGCATAAACTGACTCCAAAAGAATTTTGCAAATAAACTATTTTGGCATTACCACTTTTGCTTTACTTTCCACTTTGATGTCTTGAACCGCCGTGTTCAGACCAATGACTTATGCTTTTGCATCTTTCCAAAAATGATTTTGATTTCAAAATTTGCGTGACTTTGCTTTAAAATTACCATGTTTATACAAATACCTTTGTTTGCGAACTGGCTTTCCTCTCAAGGAATTTTGAAATAGTTGAGAAACTTGGTCAGTGATCCTATCAGCTTAGGATACACCGTTATATCTTAAGATAGATTCCATAGATTTTCAACATTTAGACAACTTATAAATCAAATCCCCTATTTTCCCACAAGAGAATTAGATATGATTCATCTATGTAGTCGAGATATACTTCTCCTGCCCCCAACATAATCAAGAAAGATGTAGAATCTTTTCCGTTTGAGAGAGGTATGTGGCATACTCGTTGATTATAGATTCGAGTTGGAGCCCTTCTCTCAACGTGAAGCCAGGACCGTCTTCCATACATTTGTGGTGGTTAACTCGAGTATTCTCCTTAAGATGACGACTTGTCTTTTCTACTAGAATCAATCAACAAACCCCCCTGGAACCTTGACCATAGTCAAGAGTTCCTCATCCCTTTAGGGGAACTACGAATGCTCTGATTCCACTTCCGTCAAGATACGTAGGCACGAGATGCGATGTCTTGGCGAGCATACTTAGGACTAATACCTTAGGTCTCTCCCTCTTACTTTTTACCTTCATCAGACAAAAATAACAAGTAACACAATAAAACAAGAGGTTCATGTAGAGTACTACAGATGCTTAGGATGTTAATACCTTCCGTAAGTTTAACTAACCCCCGAACCTTATATTCTCTTTTGCTTTGCTTTGCATTGCATACTCATGGGTTTATTCGATCTTTTTCCCTTCCCGTGGATAAATTAAATACCGGTGGTGAATTAAGATTTGTGATTCAATTTAATTAATAGCTTGATATCTGATTCTCACCGCGACAGTGATGATAATGATTCGTTGGATGCAAACAAAGTTATTTTCCAATTGCAGGCTATTGTGGAGATTCATACTCATAAGCTGCAACAAGAACAAAATTGTCAGTACTGCTATAGGATCTTCAAGAGAAGCTGATGAAGGTAGTGCAATGGAAAAGGATTCTGAAGATAATGAAAACCGTTGTCGCCTGGTAGTTTCAGAAAGTTCTACCGCTGAAGGGGTAAGGGGCGAGCGATTTGTTCAGCTATGTATTTTTAATTTCATAGTATTGGTTAACCAGAGTATGGGAAGTGTTGAAATATCATTTATTTTGGGTTATGCCTGCAGGTTCATTTTGTTTCGATGGTTCCGGTGCTTTACGAATCAATTCCTTTTGTTTTGTGCCCTTGTTCAGAGTAACGTGAGATGAAGGCCTATTATTTTTATCTGCTTGTATGTGTGTTGAAGAAAGAATCAAGAAGTTCCTTTTGTATGATGTTGTATGATTTTGAAACATGGATGATGGATTTGAATTGGGGTCTTGAAAAAATAAACTTTGAACTACTTTCATTGTTTTGGATAGATTTTCCTGTAAATAAAACAAAACATTTACCTTGTGTATTTTTATTTTGTATCAAGTGTAATTTAGAGTGAACTTTCAAGAACTTGCGTCAAACATTTTGTATCCTTGAATTTGAAGCCTTTGTAACAATTATGAAATTCTTGAATTTATGAATCTACCTTGTAAACATTGAAGAAACTTTATTCTTGAGCTCACAATTTGAAGGGATTGAACATTTTGATGAATTTTAAAGATCAAACCAAAAAATGGTCCTTGAACCTTGTAATCCATGATTGAAATTTTTGGACTTGAACCTTAAAGCATGGACCTTGTGCTCAAATTTAATTTTGAAGACCTTGATGAATCTTAACCTCTTTTGCATTTGGAATTGAACTTTAAATTTTAGTATAAAAGCGTGAACTTCATATTGACATTCACGATGAAACTAACAATAAATCTACGAGTTTTGAATGTCACTTTGAGATCTTATAGCAAAAACTTGATTCAAGATTCTTATCCAAACTTACAACCTCACAACATCAACAAGAAAGTCCCAACTCTTTTTCTTAAAATCAAAATACCATAATGATTCAACCCCCTAGCTAGAAACAGAGTTAAACTTGATCTTTAGTTTAATCGCAAACCCAAGAAGCAAACACATTCCAATCTGATGAAGTCTTAAACCATACAATGAAGACACATTCTTTTACATCTCCTCTTGAAAGCAAAGTACACAAACTTGTCAACACCACACCATATCTTAGGCCCTAAATAACCATGCTTCATGTCAATGGATAGAAAAACCTAATCCTCCTTGGGGAAACCTCTGAAAAATCTTGGAGAGAATTGACTTTTTATTGACTAAGGGACTATACGAATGAGGGCATATCCTTTCTTCATCTCCGTTGGAATTCAACACAACTTGCAGGGGACTAAGAGCATAGACAACGCCTTCATGATCTCTGAATCTTTTTCAGCAACCTATCTTCACGGCACAAACAAAAACTAAAAACATGGTTAGCTATGCATAGATGATTGACTTAAAGAATGATATGCCAAAGGTCAAAGAATCTAAGGGTATAATTTAGGATATAACACAGTGGCTTTGACCAACACCTGGAAGCCTATTCCTGAAGGTGGGCTTGGCATTCGCTCTTTGTGTAAGCTTAATGAAGCATCCAACTTAAAGCTTAATTGGGATTTGTTAAACTCCATGGCCAGCAGGGCTATCCTCCTCCGGGATCGAGTCATGCGTAAGAACAAGTTCATAAATCATCTTATTTCTTCTTCTATTTGGTTTAGTGCAAAAAAAAAAAAAGAAATGAAAAATGTTTTGGATAACTCCTCTTGGTGCATTGGCAATGGTAAGTCCATTAGTATTTGGTATGATAATTGGTGCGTCTCTCCTTCGTGTATTGACGAGGAGGCTCCGACCTTGCTGAATGACCAAAAGGTTAATGAAATCATTGTTAATGGGCAGTGTGATTGTGCTAGGTCTTCTATCATTTTCCTATTTTGATACAGCAACAAATAACCTCCTATCATCTCCCTTTCGATTGCCAACCAGATAAGAGATATTGGAACTATACTTTGCATGGTGAGTTTTCTCTTAAGACTGCTTATGAGTTCAAGAGGAATAAAGGCATTTCTAAGGATTTTTGGAAGTGGATTTGGAGCAAATCTATACCTCTGGTCTTTCACGGTGTGGCGGCTCATTCACAATCGGTTGCCTATGAATGCTCATATGAAAAAAAGAAGCTTTGCCTTTCCTTCTAGATGATATTTGTGGTTTGGATGACGAATCAGAGACACATTTGTTTTTTTTACTGTTCTTTTGCTTCCAAGATTTGGGTTTGGCTTAAACAGGTGCTTAATCTCAGTTTCTATATTCATGGCTGGTCGAATATTTGGAGAATTATCAGGACAACAGGCAATGATCACAAAAGGATGATTTGTACAGTTACCATCATCTTTGCACTCAACTCGATTTGGAAGACCGGGAATTTGGTGAGATTTAATGACACTTTAACTTCTTTTCTTCTATTTCCTTACTTATTGTGGTTGCCGTTTCCACTGCGGATAATGCTAACTCTATTGGTTCTCATCTTTCTATGCACGATTTTGAGATTCTTAAGAGGTTTAAGATTATCATTCGGCCGCCCCGTGCTTCGAACATCTTGGAGGTTTTTTAGCAACCCCCTCCTAAGAATTGGATTAAGTTGAATTGTGATGGAGCATCCAAATTCTCGTCGGGTATATAAGCTTGTGGAGCCATTGCTAGAGATAAGGGTGACTCTTTTTTGGTTGCTTTTACGTCGTATTTATGTGTTGCAGATTCTATTCAATACGACAATGAATGGCGAACATCAATAGACCCAAATAAACGAAATAGAATCCAAAACAAAATGAAGAAATTATTTGGAAATAAAATCCAAAAGATAATGAAGAAATTTGAGATCATAAACATGGATCTCTAACAACCACAGCCAGTTTGAGTATTTTTCAATGAATATAGTCAATAAGTGTATGCAGGTGTAAAATTCCAATCACATACAGTGATACCCAAAGATTCTGAACTAAAGATCCTGAAATCTCACCTAACTTTGTTTCTTGGATTGCTTCAAAAGACACAAGTTATTAGCCAAAATAAAATCATTCACTTTAGCTCACTTGAATACCCCACCCCACCCAGACCACAAATTTGAAGGATAATATAATAATTGAGAACCTCCTCTAGACACTCAAACTAACTTTTTAAAGCATTCAACCTCTCAATCTTATTCTCATCATCTTTTTAAAAAAACACCCTAAAATATTTCTACTATTTTCACTGCTTTTATAAAAAAAAAATTATAAAAAAAATAAAAAATAATATTCCTCATACACATGCATAATTTTATCCATTGACTATCTTTAAATTATTATTTTTTATAGCAGAATTTTAATTAATGAATTGGTCAAAATTTCAATTAGTAATTAGTCCTAAACACGGATATGTATTATACGTAATAATTCACATTCAATGAAAATAAAGAAGAAAAAAAAACTCCACCACTCAAATTGCATTTTATTTGGTTTACTTTCTGATTTAAAGATTATTGAGTTACGTGTTTATGCCTATTTATTTATTCAATTTGATTGCTTTACACTCATCACCTTCCTCCACTTTCCCTTTCTTCTAATTATTTTCTTCCTTTCTTCAAATTTGTTTTTCAGTTGAACTTCCCTATGACTATTGAAAGTGATAGGAAGAACAAAACAATTGTTGAAGAGAATACACCTTTGTTACCTGAGACTCAAGAAAGTGATGTTGGGTTTCATGGAGCTTCATTTTCTAGTTCTGTTTTCAATTTATCAACCACAATTATTGGTGCTGGAATCATGGGGTTACCTGCTTGTGTTAAGAAATTGGGAATGGTGCCTGGTCTTATTGCTATAATCCTAACACCATTATTAACAAAAAAATCAATTGATTTCTTGATCAAATTTTCAAGAGCAGGGAATATTTCTTCCTATGGAAGTCTCATGGATGATAGCTTTGGAAAGTATGGAAAAGCTTTGGTCCAGATGTGTATTACAGTCAATAACATAGGTTGTTTGATTGTTTACATGATTATTATAGGTGAGAAAAACTTTCTTTTACATGATTATTATTAGAGGTGAGAAAAATTGACTAATCCATTCGGGCCGCTTCGATAGATCTGAAAAATTATAAGATTTGCATCTTAAAATTGAGTTCATATTTTTTTTAAGTTTTTTAGTTCGATCTTAAAAAACTCGTTATTCATTAGAGTTAATTCGTATGAGTCATGAATTATTAGGCCAGCATAATTATAAATTTAAAAAAAAATTATATCAATACTTGCATTGTTTTAGTTCAAAATAACATATTGATTTTTTCCACTTCATAGTTATCTCTATTTTATTCAATTTTTTTAATATAATCAATAATTTTTTTTCTTCATATTAGGTTAGTTTTTATTATTTATAAATATTCGAGTATTATTTTATAAAGTTTAAACATTTGTATTTAAAAACACATTATAGTTTTATAAAAGATAATATAATAGTTAAAAATATATTATGTTTCAAATAATATAATTTTTAATTTCATTTATAATAAATATTAGAGTTTTTCTTTTAATTTTTCTATTAAAAAAAGTTCATTTAAGACATGGTTGTTTGAAATCCATCTTCAATCAAGCTTGGGTAATAATTTTTGACCCCATAAAAATGTTAGTTTATTGCTGTTAGGTTTTGTTTTTATATAGTTTAATTTGTTTTTTTTTCTTTTATTTTTAGCTCTTTTCATCCGAATATACTTGTATATCGAGGTTACTTTCTTTAACGGGACACCTCATATCCACTGCATGTGAGGAATATTTTAAAAATTGAGAGACATCTTTGTTTAGAACCACACTTTTGTGAGAGACACATCACATATTTACTCAAAACTTTAAAGTGATAGGTGTGTGGGTCAACTCTAACTTATAAATATTTAAATCTCTATATTTCTACTCAACGTTGAACTATTACTCATACTATTCCCACTCGCTATACTTAACAAAATATTTATGTTGTAGGTGATGTGGTTTCTGGAACATCTTCAAGTGGAACACACCATTTCGGTATTCTTGAAGGATGGTTTGGTATTCATTGGTATACTGGACGTATATTCATTCTTTTTTTTACAACACTGGTTATATTAGCACCTTTAGTCAGCTTCAAGAGAATCGGTACTTATTTTTTATTCATTTATTAGATTAAAAGTATTTCAATTTTTTTTATAAAATATCTACTTTTTAGTTAATCTTAAAATTTAAAACATGTGTTTTACTTGCTTAGTGGATTGTTTTTCAGATTCGTTGAGATTCACATCTGCATTATCAGTTGGGTTAGCAGGAATCTTTCTTATCATTGCTATGGGAATCTCAATCATCAAGATCATAAGTGGAGGCATAAGGATCCCAAGACTCTTTCCAATCATTACTGATGCATCAATTTTTAAAATGTTCACAACAGTTCCAGTACTTGTTACTGCATATAACTGCCACTCCAATGGTATGAACTTTTTATAGCCCTCACAAATATATTAAATTTGTTTTTTTTAATGGAAAATATGATATATAATAAATAGGAGACAAGAAAAGGTCCCAAAAGGTATAAAAAAATGAAATGTAGCTTAAGGATATATTTTATTTAGCCCCTTTAAATATTATTCTATTGTGTTTGAGAACGCCATTTCTCATACAAAACTAGATTCCTAGAGAATAAACAATCATTTTTCTGAGAGAGCCATTTTTCATTGGACTTAAACATAATAAGCATTAATGCAGAAAACTCCAAAAAAAAACTGAATCATGTACTTTTTCAAAATCCATTTTAAAAATCAGACAATTATTTTCTTTTCTAAATTAAACAACTCATTTTCATTAATCACTACATCGACTAATAACCCTATTTTAAGGAGTGCCTATTTATTAAAGAAAACAAGTCTAGCCTTCTCAGAATCTTACCTAGCTTATATCATGCACACATTATCTTTCCTATTATAAAGGATGCTCTAAAATTTCGATAAATATTAGCAATATCCTAAACTATAAATGTTAATAACTAAAAAGAAATACTAGAAAAGTATTTAAATGTTATCAAACAGTCATTTCAATAATTGATCTCTCAGATTGTTTTATATTTAAAAGTATTCAATATTATTACATGGGCGATCTTTAATCTAGGTACAAATAAAATTATTGATAACTTGTAATAATTATGTTAACATAGATTCATCCTTTTTATAAATATGAGATACCCTAAAATTTATTTTGTGCTCTTTAAATATTTGTAGTTCACAGCATAAATAATGAACTAAAGGATTCAATACACATGCAAGGGGTTGTGAAGACTTCCATTGTTTTATGTTGCTTTGTGTACTTACTCACAAGCTTTTTTGGATTTCTTTTATTTGGTGAAGAAACTCTTGATAATGTTCTTGCAAATTTTGATACTGATCTTGGAATACCATTTGGTTTTATTCTCAATGACGTTGTTCGTGTTAGCTATGCCTTGCATCTTGTGTTTGTATTTCCCGTACTCTTCTATGCAGTGCGAATCAACATCGATGGACTCGTCTTTTCTTCTTCATCAACAAGGCCTTTGATTATTGATAACTACAGATTTTTCTCTATTACCTTTTTTCTTGTAAGCATTATATTCTTGGGAGCGGTTTTTATACCTAGCATTTGGAATATTTTCCAATTCACTGGAGCAACCACGGCTGTTTGTGTAGGATATATATTTCCAGCTGCAATCACTCTCAGGTGAGTTTTGTCACTAAGATCTTACTTGAATAAAAATTTAATTAAGTTTTTTTTCTCTATAACACAAGATAAAGTAAAGTTCAATTGTTTCATTATATGTTATAAGATATTTTTATAAATTTATGGAAACAAACTTAAAAAAACTAATGAACATGTTATTAGTTATTAGTTGTTTTTCATAAGTTCTCTGTAATTTTATGAATAGTTTTATAATTAAAAATACTTAAACAAATAGTTGAAGAAAAAATTTGGTTTTCTAGTGAGAGAGAAGACAACTTTTAAAGGAAAACACATATTTGATTGGTTTACTTAGTATTCTAAATTGCATTTGCAGTTGTAGCTATATATTACGATTGCAAATATTATGGTTGTCGTGATGTGCATCAAAGTCATTAAAGTCATTAGTTGGGATTAAAATTATTTTGTAAGAACATCATACATCATATGTTTGAAGAAGCCCCAAAGGGTTAAGGCTAGATGGCTTGAAGAAGGGAACACCATTTCGAGTTTCTTTCATACTTTGATCAAGTATTTTAATAAGAGGAATTCGATCTGAACTCTTAAGTAGGGGATGGCCAACTTAAAAGAGTTGTTGATACTCAACCAGAGATATTTAATTATTTCTCTGAGCCGTTTTCTGAACCGAATGTCCACTAACCTATCTTGTTGGAGTACATTTTTAGTCTCTCTCTAAGGAGGAAAATTTTGTTTTGACCTCTCCTTTTATTTTCGAGGAGCTTGATGTGTGATGTTTAAGTGTGATGGTAATAAGAGTTCAAGTTCTGATAGCTTTAATTTTTTAAAAAGAGTTTGGAACTTATTGGGGGTTGATTTATGGATTATGTTTGACGAGTTTCATCGTTTTACATCTCTATCTCACAATTTTGAGAATTTTATTCCCAAGGTCAAGAATCTCTCCCTTTGAGAGAATTTTGGTCTATCTAACTGATCGGATCTTTTTATATGTTGGTAGCTAAAATTTTGGCTAAAAGACTAAAATTGGTGATAGACAAGCTGGTCTCTCCTAATTAACCGGGCTTCTTAAAATGGAGAATGTTGGTTGATGGAGTCATGATTGTTAATAAGGTCATTAATTTAGCCAAACACTATAAAAAGGTTTATCTTATCTTTATAGTTAACTTTGAAAAAATATTTGCTTTAGTTAGCTGGAACTTCCTAAATTTTATGCTTATCAAATTTGGATTTAATGATTAATAAAGATCCTAGATCAGATCCTGTGTGTTTTCAAAGAGTCTGGTCGTGTTAGACGTTGCATCTCTAACTGAAGAGATTAAAATTCAAAGAAGGATTGAAGCAAGGACACACTTAGCTCCATCTAGTGTCAAAAGGCCTTGATGGGTTGACCAAGAGAGCATCTGATCTTAATATCTTCTTCGGATCTAAAGTTGTTCTTTCCTTAGTAGTTTCTCATCTTAAATATCCCGATGAAACTTTAATTTTTTTCTTAGCCTTTGGCTGAAATTTTGTGGGTTATCCAAGCGATTTTGAGGGGGTTTGAGCTTGTTTCTGGTCTTGGGGTTAATTTTCATTATAGCAGCTTGATTGGGATTAATGTTGACCTTTCCTTTTTAGATTTATTTAAGGACTTCCTACATTGTAAGATTGTGTCTCTTGCTTTCAGGTATCGTGGACTCCTAGTAATCACCAATCCTTGCTAGAAATCTACCTAGGAACCCCTTGTCGACCTGATTTGGAAGAGACTTCACTATTGAAGTCACAAATATGTGATCCTTAAGGCAGAATGATTCTTCTTAACTCGGTACTCAATGCTATCATTATTTTCTTTCCATCCTTCTAAGAGATGTTGATGTAGGTATGGAAAAAGTTGGTCAGGATTCAGAGAAGGCTCATTTGAGGAAGTGCGAAAGGAGAAGTCAAGACCTCTTTGGTTAAATGGTCTTTTTTGTAAATCAATTTAACCTTCTTAGTCAAACAAAGACGGATACTTTTGTTAGGTACTTCTGTGGGTTTATATGCTCTCTGCCAGGTATGACGCTTCCAAGGTCCACTCCTTATGTGGAGGTAGGTCTTTTGGGCTTCTTTCTGTTTCTTCTTGGTGGAAAGGAATGCTCTTGAAGGATTCAAAAAGGATGGTCCTCATAATTGGTTTGAAGAAGTTTTTGTTAAGACGGTGGGGATGGGCCTTCCGACATCCTTTTTAGGAAGATCCTTGGTTATACAATACTCCTTTTAAGATTACGTTCCAGAGACTTCTTATCATATCCCAAATTCTAGCGGGGACTGTGAGCGAGATAGGGAGGTGGAAAAAGTGGAGGATTTTGTGGAACCTTAGGTGCAAGGGATCTTTCTACATTCGTGAAGAACCTTTCATTTATGTTTTTTTGACCTCTAGCATTCGGTATAATATTTTTGGATGGTTAAAGGTGTAGTCCGATCTTTCTAAGTATCTCAGGGCTCTTTTTAGAGGTTTTCGTCTCAATAGTGTCGAACGTTAAGTCTAGGGGAGTGTTCACCATAATCTGGCATGCATTTGTGTGGACTATTTGGTTAGTACGTAATTATAATTTCTTTTACGGTTCATCAACAAACGTGAAGGAGGTGGTGGGTAAGATTATTTTTATTGGCTTGGTGCAGGCTCTGTAGTCGTTCATCTATGGACTATATCACTCTTTCTTTGACTGGATTCATAACCCTATCATGTGTCTTAACTAATGGCGGATCAAAAGGTGTGGTCTTCTTCAAAGGGGCTCAATGGTTTATGACGTTGATGGGGTTTTCTGGTTTGTTGATGGTGGATTTGGAGGTCTAATATCTACCTTGGGTTTTTTGGGTGAAGCTTCGGTGTGTAGGTGCATCTTTTTTTTTTGTTCTTGTTGGTGCTAGTTGGGTGTTTGTTCATTTTTGTGCGTGTCTTTGTTTTTCTTGTACTTTTTCCCGGTTTTTAATTCTCTCGACACTTTTTGTGCCAACTTGACGTGATTTTTCAAATGTGGTTGGGTTTTTCCTTCTTTTTTATTTATCATGTATTATATTTTTCAAATAAGGTTGGGTTTTTCCTCCTTTTTCAAGTAACAAATGGTTGATAGTTTTTGGTCAAACTTGTTCTTTGTTAGTTATTGCAAAGTAGTTTGGATTTTTCCTATTACAAAAACTAGTTAGTTACTAACTACTTTAGTGGGTTATAGTTAGTTACTAACTAATTTTAATTTTCTCTTTAATTTTACTAAATACAATAAGAAAAATATTGTTGAAAGATCATGTACAAAATTTGAATATTGTGTTTGACTTCCCATGCTTGTGAAATTTAATGGCTAGATCATCTTCTTCAGGAATTTGGCATTGTGAATCTCATTCCTGCCTCGATCTATTGTGAAAACAAATGTCACATTCCTTGTACACAATCCAAAATTACGTGACATCACCAATCATATTGAGATTAATTGTCACGTCATTAAAGAGAATATCCAAATTTCACTTGGCAATCTATTTCTTATCAACCGTGCTACTCAATTAGCTGATGCATTTACCAACCCTCTTTATTCCATTTCTTCTTACTCTAATTTGTCCAAGTTAGGTATATGAAATTTTAATTGTCCGATATGTGGAGAGATGTTAAACATATTTGTTACTTTCTAGTCAGGTAACAAATGGTTGATAATTTTTAATCAAGCTTGTTCTTTGTTAGTTACTTACAAAGTAATTTTTTTTGCCTATTATAGAAATTAGTTAGTTACTAACTATTTTAGTTGGTTATAGTTAGTGACTATATACTTTTACTGTATAAATAGTATATTACTCTTCTATTGACAATATGTAACCCCTTTGATTTCTCTTATCTTTCTAATGAATGAGAATGAGGTTTCTTACTCACCAAGCTATTCGTTTAACATTATTATTTATTATTTGTCATATAATTAAAATATCTTTTACTTTCTCTATAACTTTTCATATCTATTAATCATATACCAGCTATTGGATTAACATTATTATTTATTATTTATCATATAACTAAAATATCTTTTACTTTCTCTAAAACATTTTATATCTATTAATCATTGTGATGTTAGACTTTTGAAATGATGAATTTTTTTTTTTTTTTTTTACATGCTATTAATTTATTAACTTATATATAGTCATCTTTAAGCAATTTACTTTTACTGCAGGGATAAATACTGCATAGCAACTAAAACCGACAAGATTATATCAGTTTTAATGATAGTCATTGCAATGTTGTCAAGTGTGGTGGCTACATACAGTAATGCATATGCCTTGATTAAGAAGAATGAAGCTGATCATTATTTCCAAATTAAAAAGTAAAATTATGTTTTTCCATGTTGAATATGATATATTGACTACAAAATCTTTAAGATCCTATGTTATATGTTATTTTCTTTTGTAATTTTAATGGCTTTTGTTTAATGTGCTTGTATATACTTTAGTTTCCCTTTTATGAACATAGATATGCATTTCTCCCACATGTGGTTCTCTACCTAACTTGATATATTCTGTAACATGTATATGCACACTACACGAAAAAAATTATGATGGTGTTTTTAGGGGGTTGCAGTGGCTATACCGTCGCTAACACTGAGTTGTAATGGTTTGGCAACTATTGCAAAACCATGTGTCGCGAACGCTCCAAGAGCCGTAATATATTACGAAGGTTCCAAAACTGCATCCAAAGTATAGTTGTAATACTTGTAACTGTCATCAACTTTATTTGATGTTATAAGTTTAATTCTGACAATTGCTTACCATTCTTAAATGTAAAATCATCACAACTCAAATCGTCGCTATTTGTTTTTTTATAAAACCTTTTTATATATTTTTAGTAACAGTTTGAACTGATGCTAAATATTTTTTTAAAAATATTTTTGACAACAATATTAACTATATTTTTATAAAAATTATTTGGACTTAATATTCCTTTTCTCCCCGTTTAATTTAAAAACATTCATTTTGGTCTCTTAGTTATTCAAAAAGAGTAATGTTTGTCCTTAAAGTCAAAGGAATTAGTCAAAGTCAATGGAAGAGGTTAGATATCACTTAGATGGATTATTATTTGCTTAGGTTGGTAGGTAATGTTAAATTTAAATACTTAAAGGAATTTAGGGTTTCATTTACTTCATTTGTTGTATTTTTTCTGAGGGAAATGTTGGAAATTCTCCAAGTGAAATGAAGTAAGAATTCCTGGTTAGAGAGTTGGGAACAATTCATGAGATATACGTGAAGGCTTAGAATGAAATGGCGGTTGAGTACTAAGAAACGAAGGCTTAAATGAAAACAGGAAGATAAGTTTACTTGTACGTCCAAAGTTTCGCCTCTTCCAAATTTAGGATTTAATGGGTTTTTCAAATTTTTCCTCTTTCTAATATTTATTTTTTTGATAAGCAGAATCTATTAATAGGAGATTAAGGAAATCTCAAACCAAGAGACAAATTACAAAAGTCAAATGGAAATTTGAACTAATCATACAAGCAACACGGCTTGTTCCCCTTCCTATCTAGGATCAACCAATTCCAAGAATAAAGTTTGATGTCGAAAACAATACTGTTGACCTCAGTAGTTACATTATTGAAAATACATTCATTTCTAGACCTCCAAATACTCTAGCAAGTAATAAACCAAATCGAATTTACTCTATTTGCTTGACACCGACCACTAAGGCTCGAGTTCCACACCTTAGCGTGAGAATAACAACAATTTTCAGAAATTATGTCTATATTCGCTCATTCACAAATCTTGTTCCAAAACTGAGTTGATTTAAAGCACGAGAAGAAAAGGTGGAATACGTCCTCGAGGCTACTAGAGCAAAACACGCAATCCAATTCTTGCTCAAAATCAATCACCCTTCTTTCCAATAAATTAGATCTCGTAGGCAATCTATCAAGCGTCAATCTCCAACTGAGAGTTTGCACTTTCGTCGGCATAACCGTCTTCCAGATGGACTCAAGATGGGATGCACATTCTGAACCAATATCTTGTACAGATAAGGAGGAATATAGAACTGAATGAAAATAACTAACCTTGAAAGACAAATATTCATGAAGAAGCCACCGCCATTTGTCGGACTCACCAGGAATAACTGGGACATTTTCCAGCAACTTACAGCAGTCAGACTAGTCTGGTTCAGGAGGAGTGTCTGAATCGATCAACGAATCTCTCAGTTTCCAATTCCACTGCCCTTCCTCTCAGTATCCCATATCACGGACGGACACTGTCTTCATAGAGCAATTCTGAGACAAGCTGTTAAATCTGATTTTTTAAACGGCATGTCACCAATCCAAACTGACTTCCAAAACACCGCATCATTACCTTCACCAACGGAACAGGCTGTGAAATTGCAGAAGTTGGCATAAGAATTTAGTGACGCATTGGTCATAATATCCTTCATCCACAACGAATCGGATTTCGAACTATCAGCGTCGGTGTAAGTTTACGTCTTGATACTGAGGTTACCATATCTGTTAGTGAGGTTCTTCCTCCATATTTCATTGCCGCCAGTTTGGAACCTCCAAAGCCATTTTGCCAACAAAGCACTGTTGAAACGACCCACATGCTTAATCCCCAGACCGCCATCTTCCTTAGATTTACAAACAGAATTCCAAAAAACCCAAGGGGTAAAAGATTTGCTCGAGTTCCCAGCCCATAAGAACCGACATTGGATCGCTATTATATCGTTCATGACTTTATGGGGAGCCTTGAAGAAAGCCAGATAATGGATAGGCAGATTAGCAAGAACCGAATTAATGAGGGTGACTCTGCCCCCCATAGACAAGTTTCTCCTATTCCAGTTGGATAATTTATTCTTCAAACACATCTGAACCAGCTTCCAGAAGGAGTATCGACGATGGTTGCCCCCAACAGTGATACCAAGGAAACTAAAAGGCAAATTTCCCGATTTACAGTGAAGAAAATCTTCAGCAGCCACTAGAAAATCAGGTTCAACGTGAATCCCATACAAACAACTTTTGGAATAATTAGTTTTGAGACCTGAGATTAACTCGAAAGCCCGAAGAATAGCCTTGAAAGCCCAAATGTTTAACGTCGAACCGTCTCCAATGAGCAGAGTATCATCAGCAAATTGGAGAATACTCACTATTGGTTGACCATGAATCTTGAATTAGGATAGCATATTACCGGCAACCGCTGATTTCACCAAGCTCGACAGCCCCTCTGCAGCTATAACGAATAGGAACAGAGCAAGAGGGTCGCCCTGCTTCAGCCCCCTACCAGCCCTAAAATCCTTCGAGGGACTACCATTGATGAGAATAGAGACAAAACTATTGAAAACAGAACCACAGATTCATTTCATCCACTTAGTTCTAAAACCCATCTTTACAAGCAGAGCATCTAGATAGAGCCAATCCATACAATCATAAGCTTTAGCAAAATCAACTTTGAAGAAAAAGCAGTCCTTATTGAATCTCTTAGCAAAATCATCCAACTCGTTAGCCAACAAAATACCATCGTAAATCTGCCGCTCCGGTATGAAAGCAGTTTGTGTTAGGGTTTATATTTACATGGCTTCTAGAAGGAAGAAAAAGCAGTCCTTATTGAATCTCTTTCTAATATTTACATGGTTTTATATTTCTTGGGTGCAATCTATTGGATTTAATGTATAAACTCAATTTAGGTTACATTATTTGTATTAGGGTTTTTGTTGGTTCTTTTTTTGAAAGGTTTATTTGTGTTGTATTAGTGCGATTGTATAATTCTCTGTTGATTTTAGGAATTTGTGTTGTACAAATGTGATTGTATGATTTTTAGTGTATGAATTTTGTGTTGGTTTTACGAATTTGTGTTGGTGTTGTTTCTAAAAGTTATTATTTATTGGTTCTTATTAAGTAGTTTACATTTAAGGTAAAAAAATGGATGATTTTTTTCATGTTTTTATCCACCATGGAGGTTAATTAGTAGATGATTAGTTTTATAGTTATGAAGGGTTAGCTTATGAGCTGAGATGTAATGTAGATAAGTGGAGCTATTTTGAAGTGGTAGGGATAATTAAAGACTTGAGTTATAAAGAAGCTAGAATAATATTATACAAAGACCCCAAATATGGTATATTTATTTTGAGCACTACTACAAATAATATATTTTATGACAACACTTTCACCTCACCCTACAAAAATACGACGTATAATTCTTGGATGCCCTATGTTATTTTTTTTTAATAAAAAAATATCATTTACTCCTTCGGTTATAGTATACAACCGAGGTGTAAAATAGTTTAGTGTCATACTTCAAATCTTGGCAACTGCACTTTTTGTTTTTATTTCTTTAAAAGCAGCGCCTTTCTTTGAATTTTAAATTTTATTAAATTATTAAATAATCTATTCCATCAGTTTATTTAATATTCGAGGGGTATGATACCCAAGTTTAGGTATAAAGGGATTCATTCACTATGTTTTACCTTAAATCTAACTCATATATACACCCGTTCCATACTCGTAAACATAATTCTTTTGGATGGATTGCAATCCAGAAAATTTCTTTTATTTTATGTTGTTGTTCTTCTAACACCAACCTTTAATCATTTTTTTATTCTTGCAATCTACCTCTGCTCACACGTGATTTTCGCGCGGACAACCTCTGACCTCCCTTCGCGGGTTTGCTTGTGGGACCGGCCAAACTAGTCCCAGGACACTGGTTTTGGGTGTATTGTTTACTTAGGTTTTTATGGTTTTATGAAGCGTATAAGACGAAATTCAGGCAAGTAAAGACACAGAAGTTCCTAATAAGAAAAAGAAAATGCTGAACAAAACGTTGCTTTTAATAACATAAAGAGTTGGTAAATTTAACGTAAAAAGAAAAGCACAACTGAACGTATTCGTACATTTTTGAATGAAAAGGAAACTCTTTTCTCTTTAGTGTGTGGTACTCAGAGTGTTTTTCTCCAAAATATGACAAAAGACACCCTTATTTCAAAACAAGACTTTGCTTTATATAGATACATAAAATAACTGCCAGGAGGCTTCAGGACGTGCCACATGTCAGTCCATGACTTTTATAACTGCTCCCACGTTCCTCTTTTCAAAGTGATTTCCTGCCAGGCACAAACTCTTTTGTCGAGGGTACCCCTGTTAGTTTTCTTTTGGGTCGACCGACGTAGAAACTTGTCGACCATGCCACATTGCCGTGTCAATTCAATGTGTTTTTTTCCAGGTTTTGTTATTGTCGATCCTTGGCTTCCACTCAAGGATTTTGTCGGTCTGACGCCTACTTCCCCTAGCTCCTGTCGAGGTCGATGCTTCCAGTTGGCTAATTTTCAGCCAACAAGATGCCCCACCAAAACCCAAGATTTGATGAGACTT